CGGAGATCTCACAAAGTACGTATATGCTTGATCAGCCTCAAATTCTGAATCGATTTAAGCATGTCCGTCTGTTCGTCCGTCTATGTAGCATCTCTTGTAGACATTCGCCTTGTTGCAAAAATGAAGCAAAGATATTGGAAATTTTTGCACAAAGTTTGGTACTAAAAATGATTCAAATCGGTCGAGGGACACGCCTACAGCATCGGGTAAACTGAGAACTCCTCTGTTTTGGAAATGAAATAAAAAATTGGTTTTTTGCTTATTATTTATAAACTACAGCAGATAAACCTATAAAAATTTGCACATCTAATCCATGGGCATTGCTGTAGTCCCACACCTATCCAATATTATATATTTAATTTTGTTTTCAACATCTTCACATTCGAAACAAGCTTCAAAAACCCCATAAGGTATATAAATTCTTGGAAAATTTCAAATTCGGAAAGAATGTCTCCTTGTTTGTCTATCCATGTGTCCGTTTGTGCAATTTGTAGTATATGTGGAAGATATCGCCTACAAATTTGCAAAAGAATTTCGATATGGCCCGAACTTTTGAAAGAAGACGTCTACAACGCTCAAGCCTCTGCGCAACAAAATCTGTAAACTGCTTTGCTTCTTACTTAAAAACTGCAACACATATACCAAATATTATTATTATTATTAAAATTTTAGACTAATGAAATAAATTCTTAGACTAAAAAAACATATTGAGCACTAGCAGCACAGGCTATCGGCTCATATATACCAAATTTCCGCTTTTGTTCCGAAAATAGAAAAGGACAGCAGTAGATTGAATTTGTAAGGAAGCGTTTTGCTTCCTTACTGATAACAAGTCCGTCCATACAAATGTCTAACCGTAGACCCTAAACAGTCAGTCTGGTTTGCCGTTTACAAGTCTTTTTTTTCTTACTGATTATCATAAGATCATTATTCTCCTTCACCAACCGTTCAATTCAATGTTTACAAAATGGAAAAAAAAGGAAATTGTACACACCGCTCATTATATACTATAGTTTTAGAAAATGTGCCCAACCATAAAAGGTATACAAATGTATAAAATGTATAAAACATATAAAATGTATAAATGTAAAGCAGAACATTTATAAACAATAAGCATTAATTTTTGAAATATATTGTGAGCATAAACCTAACGGTCCTGACAGATTGTAAAAGTCATAGCGAGGCCAGCGTTCACATACATAACGGTCACTAAATCATACGATTTGGTGCCTAGATTAGCAATGACAATAAAACAGACGTAAAACTACGCATACAAGCAATAGGCAATAGGAAAAAGGGGTTTATAAAATTATGCTTGGTACATATCATATGAAGGCCTACTTAATGGTTCTGCGGCTTATAAAAACATGTTCGATCAGACCTAAGTTAGCATACCTAAGCCGACACTAGCAATAAGGTCATACGAGTTAGTACCTAAGATAGTATTAGTAAATGCAGGCAAACATGTTCGGCCAGACCTAAGTTAGCATTCCTAAGCCGACACTAGCAATAAGGTCATACGAGTCAGTACCTAAGATAGTATTAGTAAATGCAGGCAAACATGTTCGATCAGACCTAAGTTAGCATACGTAAGAATAGATACATAAGAATAACACATATGCAAGTCAAAGCAGCTATGTAACGGGACAGCGATGGTGATCGCGACTATAAAAGAGCATGTAACAGTATGCTCATCTTTTCAGTCGTGTTACAGCAGCCAGAGGTAAGTGACCATAGACTACATAAATAGTTGACGTTAGTGCTAGTTTTTTTTTTTAACTTTACGGATAGGGGATGGCAGGTTTGGCTTAGCCGTCGTCTCTAAATGACTACGAAGACTGTTAACCTTTACGGATAGGGGATGGCAGGTTTGGCTTAGCCGTCATCCCTGATCCTTTATGATGCCGCACAATTTTACTATAGACCTACCACAAATAAGTGAGAGTAGCAATTATTATAATTATTGATATGATTTGCTATTATGTCAAAATAATTGATATGAAAATTTAAATATTTTCGATTTGAAATATTTTCAGCAAAAAACGATTATGTGCTCGGGTAGCAATCAATGTGAACAATTTAGGTTCGGTGGCACGACAAGTTGTGCGCGGTTCGAAATCGAATGAGGTTAGATTTGCTGTATTAAGGAAAATATTTTATGAAATTCTTTTCCTCTCCTCTTCTTATTCAAGCTTTTAAATCAATCATTGCGCAATTTTACTCAAGTGGACATTGTCTCCGATTATAGCGCACAAAATTTGAATAAAATGTCATTAATTTTGCAACATGTCAGCTATCACTACGATGCAATGAATGATAGCTGTCATCATTTGGATTATTTAAAGGAGCAAGTAACGGCTATGGAAAGATGACTGGAAAGGCATTAAAAATATATAAAACAGTATCGTCTGTGCAATATGAAAATAAAAAAGTATTTATCCAATATGAAATATAATTTTTCTTTTTTATCTCATGAAACTATTAAGTAAGTTGGCAATTTTTTTCCATAAATGTGATATAATTTTGTGAGTGATATTTGACGAAAGAATGCAAAAGAAAGAAATAAAGTTTGTAGCATGCAACCTTTTGATAGTTTGGTTGGTTTTGTTGTTTGAAATTTCTCAGCGGAAATGTGACTTCTCTAAAACGACCTAAAAGAATCGCCTAACTGCTTTCAGCAGTAAAGGGCGTAAAGATAAATTCTTCATAATTGAACCCAGATATTAGTGATTTTGCTCTACATCGATTTCAATGTCGAAGACTGTGTTGTACAGAGACATGATTAATATAAATATTGTTATTCAAGTTCCTTGTGATAAATCAGTATATATCGTTTCATAAATAGCACCATAGCACCTTTGTAAAGTTCTGTCTGATGAATCAATTTACATCGTTTGGTACATGACGGCACAGACGCGAACATGCTAATACAACCCATGGTAGAAATTTTAAGCTATTATAATAGGCCATAAGGGCTACGCGGTTACATACGCGTTAATATATCAATAAATGAATAATATTGCTTTTACATTTGTTTTAAAAGCGCATCAGTGACATTAAAAAATATCAAGAGATTCTCGAAAGCGATCTCTCCAGACTAGGTGTGAAAATGAATGTGATTTGCGTGAAATCTTGCGAGGGGAAAAAGTTGAAAGTGAAATTTTGGAAGAACTTGTAAGCAACTTTATGGATTAGCCGAAATAACATAAAAATTGTGTTTTAAAAAAGATGAAAATTAATTCTGCGACCTTGTAAAGGATAATTAAGTGAAAGTTATAAATGTAGCTATGTATGAGATATTAATGTTACGTTTTTTTAAATTTTATATATTTATCCACGACATTTTTATTTAAAAGTGACTTTATGTAAATGGCCGATTTGCAATTTTGTACAAATTGGGTTCTAGTACATGAAACTTTGGGCGCTTTTCCACAAAATTCTATGCTTATTCGACTAGTAACACGAGCAATGCTCGTAATGGTCGGTTAAGGTCGTTGAGAGTTCTTTTTTAAATACTCAGGAAGTCGCCTGTAAGTATAAGACAGTGGTGATCAGAAAGAGGTGAGTACAAACAAGGAGATAGCAGTGAAAGTAGACTAAGGGATGCGTGCCTAGTCGGTAAGTTTCACATTTTTGTCGGCTGGCTGAGCTCTCACAGTACAGCAGCTACAATCAAGTATACTGCCCTACAGAGACATGACGCCGCGAACACTGACTTCGTCGTAGTCGCTAATTTTGTCTGCTCGGCTACTAATCGTGGTTTATTGGAGCAGACGAATAATCGTCAACGTAACTTCAAAGGAAAAAGTCCAATGAAATTATATCGCCCGACGGATTATCATCTTGTGTCGATGGGGACACTTACCGAGTGCAAGGACCCCAAGAGCGACGTTGGCACGTGCGCAGTCACCCGCGTCGGTAAGGTCGAAGATGAACATTGACACCAAAAACAATTCGGATGAATAACCTGAGTGCCATGCGCTTAAAGTAATTAAATGACAACCGAGGATAAAATTGTCACTGAAATTTGCGAACTTACTAGGGCACTATTTTGTTCTTAGAAGGCGGATGAACCAATGCAGTTGGTCAGTGTCATCAGCGTAAGGGAAACGGGCCCAGCCTGGGGGATCACTGAAATATCTATCCTTCGAAAAATTAGGTGCAACGAACAACGAATAACCGGCACTCAATCTTCGAGGGTGCTAGCAATGCTTAAGGGTAAAGCCAAAAATACGTTAAATATTACCTCGTGTAACGTTCGAAATTTATATGCTGCAGGAAAATCGAACAACGTAGCCCAGGAACTGAAACGCCTAAATATTGATCTTCCTGGCATAAGTGAAACGTGGTAGCCACATTCCGGACAATTTCAAACTACAGATCATAAGATGTACTATTCTGGAATATGGACCCCTACACTACATAATGGAAGATTGTATCGAAGCGCGTAGAGGCGTGGGCGGCAAACAAAAGTGCCGTTGTAATATTTGAAACTAGACAGGGCTGAGAATAACAGCCGAAATTATAGACAAAGCAAGGAGCCGCGAAGTTTTTTGGACTTTAGTTAATAATTCTCATGAGCTGTGAAATAAAAACGTATGTGGTCACTTACATCTAGTATTGGAATGGTAAGGAAAGACGATCTTTATGGGCCGTTCTCTTAATAAATTATTGGTGCCTCGAGACGTATAGTATATTGCATCATCTTATTGAAACCATATGTCGTTATATTCAAAATCATCTAAAAAATTGTGGACTTAAACGGTTTTCATGAATAACATATGGATTTTCTTTATTCCAACAATTTTGCAATTATATTACGAATAGTATGCTCTGTCGGTGGATTATGTAGACCATTTATTTCACATAACGCGCAAGGCGTAGCCCGAATAGATTCCTTGTTTTTATCATCAATTTCAATAATTTCCATAAGCTGTTAACTGCAATATATGGTAGTTTTAATAAAAAACGACTCCGTGATGCCTAAAAAGTGCACAATACCGATTTAATGACCCATTTCAAATCCTGAAGTGCTTACAGTCTTATATGTAAAAAATTTGATTTTCTCCAAACACACCAATCTTTCATAAGCAGTCACATGAAAGTGTTTCTGCGAAAACAAATTATTTTTCATGTTTTATAACTTTCTCTCTCTCTCTGTCTCTCTTTAAATTAAACATTTACTTTGAAATTATTTTTATATAATTAATTTTATACTTTTCAGTTTGTACAATCTGTATGAGATCTAGCAACAGCATTGCGTGTCGATGGCTTAATGATCACTATAATTTTTATGATATGTCGATGTCAGTTTGCAGACCCTGTCAAGTACAGATCAATAACATGCTTATGGACAATATATAATATAATAACTAGATGCATAGCACAAAAAGTATAACTACACTGCAAAGAACACAATATAATTGAATTAGAACAAAAATGATGTCAAAGAGAATATAAAGGATCAAAAGACCTATTAATAAGAGTAATCCGTAATCTATAACCAAGCATATAGCAAACATATTGTAAGGCCTCGTTACAAGAATTTTATGTTTTTTTTTTTTTTCAAATGTTTTCGAATTCAGAAGTGTTCACTTTATTTAGCAAGTTTTTAATTTCACTTACAATCAGCATCAATAATACTATTCACTTTGCCAGTTCAAAGCGCACTCTACTCTATTACCTAAACTTAACTAACTCGTAACCAAACTAATTCTTCGTTCTGATCCCCGTTGTTCTGGTTACCCTAATCGGCCGGACCAGTCAGCCCCTAGACACGGACTGTCTGTAGCCAGCAACTTTATGGCTTCCGTCAAGGTTGCCTTTTGGCAACATTACCATATCCCAATCAGAAATCTCTGTTCTGGCTCTCCTATCTCCCGCCGCCCGTCTAGTCCTTTACTTAATCCTAATTCTTAACATAAGCTAGCCTAGAAGTACCCATTCAGAGACGAAGAACCTGTGCGGACAAAATGAGGGACGATTTTGGCTCCTCAGAGATTACAAAAAAAGCCTTTGATTCAGCACCACAAGACTGATTGATTGAGATCCTGCAAATATACAAAGTAGATACTGTAAAATTTTTGAAAGACGTAATTGGGAAATGGCAAACATCTATGTTTGTAAAAAGTGCAACATCTGACGTCTTTACAAATGCAATTAAAATAAAGCGAAAGATATTCCAAGGAGACATCCTAAGTCCACTATGATTTATGTTGAGCATTAATCCGCTCTCACGACTGCTAAATTCAGCAAAATATTGGTTCAAATTGATTGGAAGTAACTGAGAATATCGTATCAATCATCTGCTATAGGGAGAAGACTTAAAACTGTATGGGTCAACAGCAGTGCAGCTTAAACGTTTGGTTACTGCTGTGGAAATATTCCCCATGGATCTATCTATGGAATTTAAATTAGATAAACAAGCACATAAAGGAGAACTGTCAGAAGAAGAAACTCCTCTTATGGACGGAGAGATATTAGAGGCAATCCTTGAAAACGAAATTTGTAAACATTTTGGCATAGAACAAGCAAAGCGCATAACCCATATAGTCATTAAGGAAAGAGTAAAAAAGAATGTAATGAAGGACTAAAAAGTTGATTAAGACCTCATCGAAGGCGAGAGATGTGACAACAGCAATCAATACCTACTGCTATCCCAACATTAAACTACTTCTCTGGAATAATTAATTAGACAAACAAGAGATATCAGAACAAGTGTGATTGGGAAAACACTATCCCAAACCAGCCGCAAAAAGATTAACTTCCCCAAGAAAAATGGGTGAAAGAGTAATAATGAATAGAAAAATAAGATAAAAGAGAAAAGAACGAAATATCCTGAGAAAGTAGATTTCTTGTGAAGGACCCCGGAACAACTGGCATAAAACAGTGCCAAGTTAGCGGGCTCGCGATATGTACAGGCCTTGAATATAATCCTACGTATATGGCTACAGGTAGCCTTTAAAAAAAAAAGAGATACTATAAAATAATAGTAACAACTTTTATTTGACAACCCTATAAAGGTGATTATTAAGAAGCAGGTAATTCGCCGCTTTTTTTGTAGCGCCCATCATTTCGTATATCTACAAAAATCAACTGCATTGTCAGCGGAAAAGTGGTATGTGCCGAATGTTCTGTATAACTGGATATATCGGAGCGTCTGAAACGCTTATAAAGTAATGATGATGGGTATCCAAGGTTCGCTTCAAGGCGCGTGCAATTTTTTTATTTGTTTCCATTAGAGCTGCTTTCATGATATGCTAAATGAAAAAGCTTTTGAATGCAAATAAGCAAATTCTTCACATATGTTGATAATGCAATAACGATAATGTGTCATCATCAATATATCAAAGAAGCAGATGTGTTTGAAATAGTAAATAAATTCGACATTAGATAGTTGAATTTTTGATAAAATGGAATAAAAACACTGTAAGACACATACGTTGAACCAAATTTTGCTAAAAAATACCTTTGCATATAAGATTTCGATACAAGTCAGAGGGCATCTTATGCTGGG